ACACGGAGAATATTCAATGTGGCATATGCAGAGCAGCTTGATAGTCACTTATCTTCACTGCATTCACACAGGCTGCTGCTCAGAGGGTAGACTCAACCCAGAGGCCTGTGATTTTCTGAGGGGTGATCAAAAGTCTTCATCTCCACATCTAAATGTGTATTTCTTCTCTCTGGTGTTTTAAAAAACTTGGCTTTATGCATCTTCCATTTCCTTCAAATAGTGGGCAAATAACAATGTGCCTATTATGGTACCTGGCACATAGTTGAAGCCCAATAAACATTTGTTGAGTAAATAAATAGTTAAGTAGAATGTTATAAGCATTGCTAGCATTATTGTGTTGGCTTGAACAGTACAAGAATAGACTTGAGGCAATCAAGTAATTTCCCTTAACAGTATAAGCTAATTATTTGAGAGATGAAGATCTGGTGCATCATATTTATTTGTCAGGTTCCATTTGCTCCTAATTAAAGGTGGAAAAGTTGTTTGTAGCTTTGAAGGGATGGCACAATGACCCACTCCTACATAGATTTTTTATTTTCCTTGCCAAATTTTCAAGGAAAATACATCAAGATAAAATTAACAGGCATTCCTCTTACTTACTTCTGTTTTCTTTTCTCTGTTACTGTTTTCTAGAGGGCAGGCAAGGTGTGGAGCAGGAAACTGTTTTGACTGTATTTTTACAGCCCATCTGCCTACATGACTTCTGTAGTTGATTCTGCTAACCTTGGTTGACTAATAAAATCATCCTCCCACATAAATAGCAGATACAGTGATCCAAGATTAAAATGCTGCATTTATCATAAGTCTCAGAAAGTTTAATTCATTCATTCCTTCATTCATTCCACAAATATGAATTCAGTGTATCATATGTATCAGGCTCTGTGCTAAAGCTGTGAATTTAACACTGAGCAAATTCTAACATGGTTTCTGCTCTAAGCTTACAATCTGAGATGGTTGATGAATATTAATTAAATAATCATACTAAAAGTATATAGCTAAAAAACTAAATTATTTTTTAAAAGAAATATGGTTCTACTAGGATCATATAACAGGAACTGATTTACACTAGGAAACCAGGGAGAAGTTTACTAAGGAGAAGGCTGGACTGAAGAAAGGGAATGTCTGAAGAAAGGGAAAGAGCATCCTAGGCAAGAAGATTGTGAAACACGAAGGCCCCATGTCTAGGGGTGCATGATGCACTGAAAGTTGGTCAGTGTGGCTGGCTGGGAAGAGAAAGGGCTGATGGGAAGGCAGGCCCATGCCCTGCGGGGACCACAGCTAGGCCATATTAAGGGCTTTGACCTTCATCCCCTGAGCATTAGACAGACTTACAAGGGTTAAAGCCAAGGGTGAGGAAGTAGAGGCAGGGAGAACGGATGCATGGCCCTTATCATGTCTGTGTTTTGGATTGGGGAAATGTAAGTATCAATTCTTCACAAATACAAGGGAGATGAAGATGCTGAGCCCTGGATAATCCTTTCTTTGCTGCAGATGAAGTTCCTGGAAATTCTTTACCACCCATTCTCCCTTCCACTAAATTTCAGAAAGAGCGCATCCAGGTCCCTAGCTGTGTGCTGAGTAACACTTGCACGTGGCCACTGCTGGACCATGCAGCAATAACTTCTCCTCTTGTCAGCTCTTCTAGCCCCTTCTCACTCTTTCTGCTTTTCCTTTTGATGATGGGGCAGTGGCAAAACACAGTTCATTTCTGTTTTTGGCAAAGTGTGAATGGCATGGCTTGTGGCACCTTCTCTCCTGGTTTAGAGAATAAGCTTTGGAGGTAGAGTGGCTTTGCCTCTCGTTTAGCCTTACAGGGTTGTTCTGAGGATTAGGTGGCTTGATATTTGTAAAACATATAGAACAAGAACTGGCACATAGCAAGTACTTAGCTAATGATAGCCATTATTATTACCTATTTTGTGGATATATTGCTAAAGGGACAAAAAGCAGGATACAAAACTATGTATTAAAAGGGCTTGCACAAATGTATCCTAATAAATGCAAAGCAAATGTCTGAGGATATGTGGTGGTTACATCTGAGGAATGGGACTGGGGTTTAGGGGAGAAGGCTAGGCAAGTGGCTTTTACTTTTTCATCTAATATTGTTGTAGTAATTGATTTTTTATTATAAAAAGTATACTTTTATAGTAATGAAATTACAAGGGATAGTTTAGAAAGTCCATCCATACTTTCCATCATGTCAGTTTTTTTAAAAGGCATGATGATTTCAACATAACCTCTTTTCATATTTTTTCATCCTTAAATTTGGAGATATCATCTAAAAACTTCTCTTACGGTAAAGAAACATGTATCTAAATCCCAGCAATTTCCGGGATTTTCATTTCTTTGCTATGCCATAGTCAAATAAAAGTTTTTATAATTACATGCTATTTTAATTCCACAGTTATAAAATTATTCTAGTTATTCTTTCATCTCTCCATATACATATATAGAGTTGTCTGGAATGCTGTTCACCCACCAGATATAAACAACACGTTTGGCTTCATTGTTGCTGACTTCATTGCAAAGCATTGCTTAAATTTTTATAATAAGCATTTTTATAAAAACAATGAGATCATTGCTCAAAATTGGAGATGAGAAGTGTTAGTTCACTCTTCTGTTTAGAAGTAATCATGGCCGGGCATGGTGGCTTACGCCTGTAATCCCAGCACTTTGGGAGGCCAAGGCAGGCAGATCACGAGGTCAAAAGATGGAGACCATCGCGGCCAACATGGTGAAACCCTGTCTCTACAAAAATTAGCTGGGCATGGTGGCACACGCCTGTAGTCCCAGCTACTCGGGAGGCTGAGGCAGGAGAATCGCTTGAACCCAACAGGTGGAGGTTGCAGTGAGATCGTGCCACTGCACTCCAGCCTGGCAACAGAGCAAGACTCCATCTTAAAAAAAAAAAAAGGAAACACAATACCCGGCACCCAGCATCTCATCTTTTCCAGACATTTAGGATGCTGAACTGCTTCAGGATTATGAAGTTGAGTAGCTGTTGTGCAGTATCTGTTGCTCATGAAAGAGGCGAGAAGTGGACTATGTGGTTACTGAATCAGGATGCGAAAATATTTGAAATGATGATCTCATATTAACATACAATCTACCATCCTTTCCTCTTGTTTTTTATTTATTTTTTTCTTAGCAGGTAGAGGCTTTTTATGTTTAACTAAGGATTTTGATTAATTGAATTGGTATTTTTCAATAGTGTATGTAACCGGTTGAGAATCATTAATATTGTACAATGTTAGCACATGGTAGCTTTGATCATCATTTAAATACAACTGTTTCCTTGCCCAGCAATTATACACCACTATCATGGATCAGATAAGAACATAAATCTGGAGAGAACTTTGAGTCCCCTGGTAAATACTTCATGAAGCCAATGGGAGCTTGCCAATTAGACAATCATCTCTGCATAAGATATATTTCCAACGAGTAACTGCATTATACAGTCCTTAGCATATTGTGCCCCTCGGGATATGATGATAATTGACTGTGTCACAGAAGAAACAATTTGAAGAAACTGGGACTAAGCTGATTATCAACTGAACCTTTAGAACAGGGTTAGCAAATGATGGCCCAAGGGCCAAATCTGGCCCGCTGCCTAATTTTGTCCAGTGCATGAACTAAGAATGGTTTTTACGTTTTAAGTGACTGGGGAAAAAGAATCAAAAGTAGAATAACATTTCATGACATGTAAAAATTATATGAAATTCAGATTTCCTGTCCCTGAAGTTGTATTAGAACATAGCAGATTCATTCATTTACACATTTTCTGCAGCTGCTTTTGCACCACAGTTTCAGAGTTGAGTAGTTGAGACAGAGAAGATAAGAGAAGAAAATATTGACTGTCTGACTCTTTATAGAAAAAGTTTGCTGACCCTTCCTTTAGACTCAGGTACAGGTTATTTGTGTGCATGTCTGCTTATGAATGGATAATGCTTCTGTGTTAGAAATATATCTGGCCGGTTGATGTGGCCATCAAAGGAGGTACAATACTCCATATTCTTCTATTTTCCTCACTCCCTTCTCAAAGTCAAAAGAAAGTTATTGAGTGAGAAAAATTAGAGTATTGGAAGGGACCATAAGAAAGATATTGGTAACAGAAAATACCTACACATTACCTCCAAAGCTCGTAAATTACTAACTCTGATTTTAAGCCCTAAAATCAGATTAGTTCTCTACATTTTAAATTTTGAAATTATTTATTCTCTGTGTCTGAGAAATCTTTTGAGAAGCAAGAGCATTTGTTCTTGTGACTCTTACAAAATACAGTGGCTGGCCGGGCGCAGTGGCTCACGCCTGTAATCCCAGCACTTTGGGAGGCCAAGGTGGATGGATCACGAGGTCAGGAGTTCAAGACCAGCCTGGTCAAGATGGTGAAAGCCCATCTCTACTAAAAATACAAAAATTAGCTTGGCATGGTGGCAGGTGCCTGTAATCCCAGCTACTCAGAAGGCTGAGGCAGAGAATTGCTTGAAGCCAGGAGGTGGAGGTTGCAGTGAGCCGAGATCGCACCACTGCACTCTAGCCTGAGTGACAGAGTGAGACTCCGTCTCAAAAAAAAAAAATTTAAAAAATACAGTGGCACACCAGATGGAGGCTCTTTGTTCAATGGCATTGTCATATTGAATGGTGCTCTTTGGTGTATGCTTGCATTCAGTTGTAGATACGATATAATGCATGATTGGATAATAGGAAATACCTTTTAGTAGAATGTGTAATTCTTGATAGGATATCCTGTCCATTGGCTTTGACAGTTGAATTAACCTATTTGGCTGACATGGACCCTCCTAATGACCACAATATGTAAGAAAATATGAAATTAATACAAAAGCTATCTTGTACTGGTAGCAAGATAGCTACTGGTAGGAAACATTAACAATAGTATCTAAAATATAGAATTGAAAATGTGAGTCATTTTGCTTTTAAATCTCTATCATGTACATGACTGACTTCAGTTGTTCCCTCCCCTCCCTTTTGTTCTGTTTCAGAGGTTGAAGGCTGCACTGACTCACCACCCTGCTGCCATGTCAAATGGGAACATGAACACCATGGGACACATGATGGAGATGATGGGCTCCCGGCAGGACCAGACGCCACACCATCACATGCACTCGCACCCACATCAGCACCAGACACTGCCACCCCACCACCCTTACCCACACCAGCACCAGCACCCAGCGCACCATCCTCACCCTCAACCCCATCACCAGCAGAACCATCCACATCACCACTCCCATTCCCACCTTCATGCACACCCAGCACATCACCAGACCTCGCCACATCCGCCCCTGCACACCGGCAACCAAGCACAGGTAGACCTTTTCTGTGATCTCTTTCCCCTTCTTATTCTCTTTCTTAACAGTGCAAGCTCTAATGCTGGGGTCATTTGCAGCAATCTTGTTTGACAAGCCCAGGTGTTCTATCTCACATTCTAGGGAGCTCTGTTTATCTCCTAGGAGGCAACCCTTACCCATAAGACCCTACCAGATCACAATTTCTATAAATAATATACTAAATAATATCAGGTCTAGTCTCTAAGGGCAAGTATAAACTTTAAGTTCTCCAAAATCTATTTCTGCAGTGTGTCAGAAAGTTAGCCCCTCCCAAAAGTAATATGAATCGATGGATTAGGAAGAACTTAAATTTGTGAAGAAAGATGTGAATTAAGAATGAGAAAAACAAGTTAATTCTAACCCTGGTTCTAGCTGCTGTTTTAAAACATCATAGAGACTGAATTTTGTCACCTGTAAAATGGAAGTTAAATACAACAGGCAATCTTCCGAGTAACAGTGAATGTTAAAAAATCTAAAGAGTAACAATTCAAGGCAGACAAAGAAGCTCCATCACGGATGCTAGGGCATAAGGTGCTGTGTAAATGGTGAAGAGAGGTGACTCATCCCCCTGAATGAGAAATGCGTTGGAGGGAACAGAAAGAGAGCCAAGTTCTGTAGATGATCAGACCAAGAGAAAGGCCAAATCCCAGTGGGGGAGAGTCACCAGGAGTGGCTGTAAAGAAAGCCAGCATTTAGACAAAACTGAAAGAGGGTTGGGGGACCAGGCAGACGTTATGTCACCCACGGTCAAGAAGAGAGGCGAGTCCTGTACTGGAGTGAGTTTTAGTAAGTGGATGAAGGGCATGTCCAGGAGCATGGCTGGGCCTAGACACTTTGGATCCTCAAGCAGAATGACCTTCATCCATACCCTCCACCCAGTCCACACTGCCAGCTTCCAACCAGCTGGATCAGAAGGGTGTCGGAAGCGTGGAACCATCAAATAACACTTATTCACCGTCTCCTCTGTCATCTGCCCCTGGAGACGAGACCTTACACCAGGCAGCTTTTTGAACTCTTGAGCCCCCCTCCATTAATGTGCACCAAACCTGGACAGCCATCCACAGAATGGATCAGGCACAAGCAACTCTCTAAGCTATTTATTAGATAAACTGTCTTTTGCAAGGTCCTTAGAGGTGTTCTACATTGTGAATAAGAATTGAGCATTAGAGTGAGATAACCTTAACTTTTTTCCTGGCTTCCTCACTGTGTGATTGTGAACTGAAACGATTAACCTCTCCAACCCTCAGTTTTTCCATCTGTAAAATGGGGCTGGGTAATAGTAGACTAAACTCTAGGCTCTTATGAGTATTAAATAAGAGAATCTCTGTAAAGCCCTTGGCACAGTGTTCAAAATATGTTATTCCAAACCAAAATAATAGAAGTTTAGCAAATTGTATAGCAATCAAACGTTACCCAGAGAACCTTTTTGGTCACATTTTTAGTCAAATGCCATACTAGAACACGTATTTAGAAAGGAAAAAAAAAAAAACTACAAAGTCAACGATGGTCAAATTGATTCACATAGGTACTTAGTTTATAAGGAAACAAGAACATCAAGGTTTGGTCACCTTTGTGGGCAAGTTATTTCACAGGGCAAGTTATATAACAATTCTTTGAATATAAAAGCCGTTCACTAGCTAATTACCAATTAGCCAGTTGCCCTCTGTTTCAAGTCAGTAAGTGGCCAATTGTATATGCAATTAGTTAATTGCTATTATAATTAGCTTCATGAACAGTTACTTCTTTTAATTGTATACTAAAAAGAAAGAGCCCAGGTTGGTCTTGCTAAAATTTGAACCAGATCATTTAGGCAGTATCCCAAAATACCACTTTTAAATTGTATTAACTTGGCTGATTACTGAGATCTTGCCATTTTTCTTAATTGTATGATTATCCGAAAGTAGGAATAGCATCCTTTGAACTCTGAGATTCTAAGATGATTTGGAATAAATTCTGCCTTTTTGAAATTATAATTGATTACTTTTGATCACAATTTTCAGAGCATCTATGCCAAGAGAATTCTGCTTTAAAAATAAAATTACAAGCAACAATAATTACCAGTTACACAGATTCTGGTTTTAGGAATGTATTTGCATTTTCTCCTGGCTTCTTGTGCTCCTCCTGCATGTAAGGATGTGATAGTAGAGTGCTGGTTTCAAGGAATTTCTCTTAACCAATCCTGAACCTACATTACACCTGAAACCACGTCACTTATGCCTTTGGGTGAAGACACACGAAAAGTGTCATGGGTTACACTGATTAAACTTAGGGTAGGAGGATACAGAATTGAAAGATAAGTCCCTGCAATGGAGATGTGAAAACATTTTTTTCCTATTTGAGGGTTTTGTCTGGGGCTGGCAATAAGAGATCATAATTCACAAAAGGAAACAGTTAAAGGCAAAAATATCCAAGCAGTTAGCACATTCCCTCTTAATGCTTTTCTTTGCAGTAGTTAGCTCAGGAATTACCATCCGAAATGGCAAGTGGTAAGCCTTTGCCAATAACAAGGATGATGTCTTCACTAGCAATTCTGATGACTAAGACCTTACACAGTTAATTTATTTTGTTATTCTTCTATAATCGGGAGGAAAATAGTCACCAACAAACAGTTCTAGAAAATGTCTTTGCTGGCCGGGTGTGGTGGCTCACGCCTGTAATCTCAGCATTTTGGGAGGCCGAGGCGGGTGGATCATTTGAGAGCAGGAGTTCAAGACCAGCCTGGCCAAGATGGTGAAACCCCATCTCAACTAAAAACTACAAAAATTAGCCAGGCACAGTGGCAGGTGCCTGTAATCCCAGCTACTTGGATGACTGAGGCAGGAGAATTGCCTGAACCCAGGCAGCAGAGGTTGCAGTGAGCTGAGATCATGCCACTGCACTCCAGCCTGGGTGACAGAGAGAAACTCCATCTCAAGAAAAAAAGAAAATGTCTTTGCTTTACATAAAATTACTGAGATGCAGTTCAACCTCAACCCTGGGCCTGATTCTTTTACAGTTAGTCATAGAAGGTTTGATAGAGTTTTGGATTAAAATATATCACCATCAGTCAACTGATGTCAACCAGTAGCCATTATTAGTGCAATTACAGTCATTCTGATTGATTTCAATCATAGTGCTGGAATGTGGTAGAAAAGATTGTTGGGCTTCATTTTTAAAACTTTTGGCCTGTTATTTCTGCAGGTTAAATGTCTCTTGTAAAACAACTTTATAGGTATTACAGTCATAAACCTGAGTGACTGAGAAATGGGAGAGGAAAAAAAACCCGCCTTTTATTGAGAATGAAGAAGGAGGAAGGAATGAAGTGCATGAGGGAAAGCATTAGGTGTCCAGACATATAAAGAGTCAGTCGTAGAAATTTCACAAGGTGCCGTGTGTCTGCCTTATGAATAGAAAAAAAGCTGTATGTGTGGAGGTCTCTAAGCCTTAGATGTTGCTGAGTCTCACACAGACCTTGCAAGAACTCTATAAGCATAGTAAAATTTTTTAATAAAGTGCTTTGCCACTCTTAGGATTTCCTTCTAATGTAAGTGTATGGTAATGCACAAGCAACTCTCACTATCTCATACACACAGGGTATGACAGGGCTCAGTGCTGCTTCAGGCATCGATTTAACGCTTTCAAAGGCCCAGCTTCCCAATCACCTAGAAAGCTCTCCTGGATCTCCTTTCACCCTGGTGAGCCCTCTGAGGGGCAGGCAGGCCCAGCTGGAGTGTGCAGGTCCGGCTAGTCCTCTGCATTAAGAACTGTGAAAGAGTCAAAATAGGATTTCACCTGCCTTCCTGGCTTCATGGGCTTCTTTTGATAGGAGCCACAGTGGCAACGATGTCCCAGAGGTGTGTTAGCAACACAACTTTACCACTGTTAGAATGAAAGGAGCCCACAACCTGCTCAGAGGTTTTCTGCAGATGACAGTTGAGTCATCCAGATTGTGATAATAACCCTGACCTTTCTGTTTTCACCCTGTAGCCATACATTGGCTATTTTAAAGTTGTTTATTTGTTTTTTTGTTTTTTAGAGACAAGGTCTTGCTGTGTTGCCCAGGCTGGAGTGCAGTGGCACAATCATAGCTCATGGCAACCTCGACCTCCTGGGCTCAAGCAAGCCTCCCACCTCAGCTTCCTGAGTAGTTAGAACTGCAGGCATGCACCACCATGCCTGCCTAATTTTTCCATTTTTTTTGTAGACACAGGGTCTTGCTATGTTGCCCAGGCTAGTCTGAAACTCCCGGCCTCAAATGATCCTCCCGCCACACCTGACCCTTACTTTAAAGTTTTTAAACACACGGTCAGTAAAACATTTTTAATAGCTGAAGGAGAAAAATAAATGTTTCCTCTACCATGATTCGGTTAAATGCCTGTCAGGGAAAAATCCATCTGACTACATCTTTTCACAAGTCATTCCCATATCTTGCCAACACATCACAGAATATATAGGTCAGTGATGCTTTTTCTTTTCTGAGTGTGATTTCATCATTTATTTCATTCATAGGAGGCAAGTCTCATATGCTGACTGAAGCGATAGACTTTCTGTGCTTTGCATTTTAACATCAGCTTGGGTTTCTTCCCTTACCTAACACGTCCTTCCCTATCCCCATCACCTCCTCCCTCTCTGTCCCAGCAGGTTTCACCAGCAACACAACAGATGCAGCCAACCCAGACAATACAGCCACCCCAGCCCACAGGGGGGCGCCGGCGAAGGGTGGTGGACGAGGATCCGGACGAGAGGCGGCGGAAATTTCTGGAACGGAACCGGGCAGCTGCCACCCGCTGCAGACAGAAGAGGAAGGTCTGGGTGATGTCATTGGAAAAGAAAGCAGAAGAACTCACCCAGACAAACATGCAGCTTCAGGTGCAGCCCACGGTGTCTTTCCCCGGGACTCAAAGGCCCTCTGCTCCGCGGGCATTTCCGGCCCCGACAGGCACTTGTTGACCTAAGCAGTGATGCCACACACTTAGTCCACAGAGGAGCCGCAGCCTCACTCCTCGAGCTTTATTAATTCCGGGACACTCTACAAAACAAAATTAACCGTTCAGTTTTTCAATCAATTTGCCCACAGAGCTCTGAGAAGGGGGGACCTACCCAGCTAAGTTGTAGGCTGGGAGCACAGGCTTTAATCCGACGGAGATCCAAACCCTGGTTCAGCAATTACTTGCTAGGTTTAACTCGCTGGCTCTCTGTTTCTTCCTCTATAGAATGGGAATCATAACTTTATAGAGTTGTTACATTAGGGGGAATAAACAAACTAATGTCTCCAAAGCAGTTGCCCAGTGCCTGGCCCATAATAAACCTTCAACTGAAAAGGAGCTGTTCGTTATATTCACTAGGTTGAGGGGGTTGCCTTGGCTTATACTTGATTATCTCTATTTTTGTTTCACATGGAAGAAAGAAAGGTTTATGGTCATTATGTAGCTCTGAAAGAAAAGGCATGTTTTCATCTCATTTGCCAACTCACCAAGATTTGAATCTTGCATAATTTTTGCTTTTTATGAATGGCTTCACTGGGGAGATTTTATAATGAGGCCCAGAAGTTTCTGGGCGTGTCTAAGAGAAAAGGAAGAAACTCTAGTACCCGGGCTTCTCCGGCAGACTTTATAGTTTATAATGATGTAGTTCAGAGCATTTGTTCTAATGTTAAAAATATGTGCACTATTTATCAGCAGAAAAAAAGGCAAGTAAATAGACACGTATGTGACCCACAGTCCAGGGATAGCATTAAGAGTTGTGGATTATACTCCAGTGCTTCCAGAAGCTGAGAGAATGGCCAAAGAGAATGGGGCAGGGAGGAAAGTACCCTACATAGGGAGACTCTGCACTTTAAGAGTTCATGGGGTCTGGGTGCAGTGGCCCACACCTGTAATCCCAGCACTTGGGGAAGCTAATCACTTTGGGAGGTGGCGGGATCACTTGGGGTCCGGAGTTTGACCAGCCTGGCCAAGGTGCAGAAACCCTGTCTCTACTAAAAATACAAAAAAATTTGCCGTGGTGGCGCAGGCCCGTAGTCCCAGCTGCTCAAGAGGCTGAGGCAGCAGAGTGGCTTGAATGCAGGAGGGAGAGTCTGTAGTGAGCCAAGATCGCATCACTGTACTCCAGCCTGGGCAACAGGGTGAGACTCTGTCTCAAAAAAAAAAAAAAAAAAAAAAAAAAAAAAAAAAAATGGCTAGGCATTGGTAGGTTACTTTCATCTTCTTCCCACACCTAGTTCTCTGTGCATCCTTAGAAAGGAACAGTTAGGGTGCCAAACCCCAAAGCCTTTGCATATTCAGTTTCATTAAATGGAGATGGCTTGGGGCTTCCAGTGTACAAATTGAAAGTATATAAGGAAAGTGTGTGTTGTATGAGGGCCTGAATTTCATAATTTATGGATGTTCATTTTTCCCCCTAAATGTGTCATTCTTTTTGTGATAGACATGATGAGCAAGAAACTGCGAAACATATAGCAGATGTGAGGAAAATAAGATAATGATTCCTGCACTAACTTGCATGCTGCGGGAAGATTGGGACTGTCTCTTGCTACTCCCTCCGCCCACTATCTATCTGCTGTTTATAGTGTGGTGTCTACACTCAGTAACTTATTTGTTGAATAAATGAATGGGTTCCCCTGTTTATAGTATAGTGTCTACACTCAGTAACCATTTGTTAAATAAATGAATGAATTCCTCATTGCTGGAGTGTCTAAGAATTGGCTGCTTGACTACTTGGCAAGGATGTGATTGCAGGGAGTCAAGCCACCAGAGAAATGGCTGGACTCAAACACCTTTAAAACCACTTGTAGAATCTGATAGGCACAGTAGTATCTGAGAAACTTTTAGGTAGAATGTGGTTAAGCATTTTTCTTTTTTGAGACAGGGCCTCACTCCATTGCCCAGGCTGGAGGGCAGCTTACTACAGCCTTGACCTCCTGGACTCGAGTGTTCCTCCCACCTCAGCCTCCCGAAGTGTACATCACCATGCCTGGCTAATTTTTTTTTTTTTTCTCTAGAGACAAGGTCTTATTATGTTGCCCAGGCTGGTCTCAAACTCCTGGGCTCAAGCAACCCTCCAACCTCAGCCTCCCAAAGTGTTAGGATTATAGGTGTGAGCCTCTACGCCCAGCCAAGCATTTTTAATATTAATAATCATATTTTAATTTTGATGTGTATTGAAAAATGTAATTAGAAGATCAAATCTGCAGTTTCAAAGATATTAGTAAGAAGGCTAAATTATTCAAAATTGAGTTAATTTGCACAAACATGTTAAGTAAATAAAAGTTCTTATATATGTGAACCTAGTAAATATTACAGCAGTGGTTCTGTGATAACTGAAGTTGGGGAAACCCAGGAATTTGCCACCATTTCTGAGGTCTGCAGGAGGATGATGCAAACGTGTAGGTTTTCTCAATCTTGGCCCTATTGACTTATGGGCTCAATCATTCTTTGTTGTTCCCTGTGCATTGCAGGCTATTTAGCAGCATCCTTGGCCTTTACCCACTATGTATCAGGAGCACACCTTCCACCTATGACAACCAAAGCGTCTCCAGACATTGCCAAATGTCCCCTAGTGGTGATTGGGAAGGGAAGTTGGGTGGCAAAATCAGCCTTAGTTAGGAACCACTGCTTAGATGAAGGAGCCAAAAATAGCCAGCTGGCACATATCAGCTGCCAAGGCTTTAAATCAGTTTTAACTAAAATGAGTCCTTGCAGAATTCCTTCAGGGTATTGACTGTGATCCTAATGCATGCAAACATGGAGGGATCATAGCAGAGAGCCAGGAAAGTAAAGATGTCCATTGACTTTGAGGCCAGAGGTGTTCGTGACTTGGCATATGCGTATTTATGACTGCTTTTACAAAATATACAAGGTAAATTTACCCTTTGCTAGACCCTAATGCACTGATTTTTTTTCACATTTCTTTAGAGCCAAATGGCTGAGGGAAAAAAGGAACTAGAACTCTAGCTCCCAAAACCAGAAAAAAAAAAAAAAAATTCCTACTGAGTTCATGTGACAGGCACCAATATTTTGGTAGTTAAAACAGTACCCAAAAAAGGGACAGTCTCTGAACAGACTAAATTGTTGATATTTTCCAACCACCGCTTTGCCTTGGAGGGACAGAAGCCACAACCGCCCAGTGTTCTCTGTGAAGCTGAGTGTCCTGCATCAGGCCCTGGGATGCTGGAGAGGATGCTGCAGATTCCGCTACCTTTGAATGACCCTTTCCCTCTCACTGGACCTTTGTCAAAAGAAAAAGGTGGCTCTCTTGAGGCTGGACCAGTGAGCCAAATTTTAAGTAAACAGAAATGGAAGGTGCTAAGCAAACAAACTCCAGCCAAATGGAATATCCAAGGTCTGGATGGCCAGCTGCCACTTTTGAGTTGTTTTCCAGCATAGAACCCTCTAGTTAGGCTGCAGCATTTCAGATTGGAAAAACCAGACCTAAGAAAACAAAATCAAACTCCCAGACTTCATTTCCTAGTCTCACAACACATCTCTGCCCAAGAGGTCCAAAAAGGTATAGGAATTGGGGAAAATATTAGAAACCACCTAATCTGACATTTTATGGAGAAAGAAACTGAGGTTAGGGAAATGAGGGGTCTTCCCTAATGTCATACAATGAGTAGGTGGCAGAATGAGGACTCAGGGAAGTCTCCTGTTGACCTAACCCACTTCTTTGTGGTCTTTTATTTTAGAAACTCCATAAGCCAAAGAAATCCATGTTCTTTTTTCTGATACTAAGTGACTAAGATCAGCTCTAAATTCATCAACTGCTGATGTGGTACTCAGAAGAACGTCTGGGTTCAGTAGAGGATATGGAAATCATCTGGTCACCCATGGAAATAATTGCTTTTCTTTTTTAGTGCAAAGACACATGGTCTAAGTTGCTGCTGAAATTTTGGACACATGAGCCCAGGTCTGGGACTTGGCAAGCGAATAGGCCAGATGGGAACTGTTGCTTGACAAATTGAAAGTTCTTTGTTTCAGAGTGAACCAAACCTGGTCTCAGCTAATCTACCAAAACAAAAAAGCTGGGGGAGGGTATATTGTGGGGCCCATTTTGATAATTATTTTTTTGGCACAAACCTACTGCTTACACCAAAAAGCACTGTGGATTTATCGTATAAATAATGACATCCCCAAAGCTGAACACTGCAAATGTAGCTATTAGGGACTTGTTGGAGCGCTTGCTTAAAGTATGTTATTGTAGTATTGAATATCTCTATGGAGTGCTGCTTCACCCCAAGGCAAACTATGGGTTTAAAAATAGATCAGTCCAACTGGATCTTACAATTGCTAAACAGCTAACTGCTTTAGAGGAGCAAACTCAAATTCATTTAGAAAAATGAAAAGATGAAGAGTTGATTTCCACCAGACAATCGATACGTATTATTAATACCTTGTATTTACAAAGTACTTTTATATTAAGACCTAAAACTCTGATTATAACCTACATAGGGGAATAAAAAATGGTGATTTTCCTCAATTTATAAAACAAGGTAATTCAGAGTAAGAAAATGCCTCCAGAAGGCCTGGTTTTTATTTCCCTACTAGACTTCCAGGCCACATTTGATTTCTTTTATGCATTTTGAAACATTTGCTATCTGGTTGTTCTCTTCCAAAATGAATTCAAGGTGATTCCACTTATGTTCCCCTGAAAAGGGTTTTTACTTAAAATATAGTCTAGTATTTGTGCATTTCCTATACTAATCATTCTTTCACTATGGAATCTTTAAGATGATGATGCATGTGCACACCACACAATTCATTCTTCTTTCTCCAAGATAGTGATTTTTGACCTTTCTTAAGCCAAAGACCCTTTATGAAATATAATGAAGGCTCCATAGATGCTGTCTCAGCAATATGGACACATAAATGGACATACAAAATTTTGTTATAAAATGAAACTATAAATGTTGCTTTGGAATCTGCCTTACTAAGATTTGGAAGCGTAAGAGGTGATAGAACTGGCTCCCTTATGAAAGATAAGACCAAAATTATAAGCATATTTGAGCATATTGAAAGTAGTTAAGTAATGAATAAAAGTCAAGATTGAATCTTTCATTAGATAATTGGGTAATTTGCTTTCTCAATAGAAGGTGACACAGAAATGCTTGTAGAATAAAAAAAAAAAATTCTTTCTGGAAGGAACTTAGAGAAGTAGTTCTCTACTTCTATACATGAAGTATAAAACCATCGTGTTTTATACTTGGTTGGCATGGCAGCTTGAGAACTCAAACCCTATTATTCTCAACTCTCAGGCGAGAGTTCCTTTTCCTATTGGATGCTGCCCCATGAATTTCTATGGCTTCTGTGGTTATTAGGCCTTTATTTAGTCCTTGCAGCATCGTAGTTACGTGTATATGGTATAAACAAGAAGCTGATTGCCCTTCTCTACTGACATTAATTGGTGTTCATTTTCCCACCATAACATGGCTAAATAATATAATTATTAACATGTTACATTAAGAAATATGTCCTGCCAGGCACAGTGGCTCATGCCTGTAATCCTAGCAGTTTGGGAGGCTGAGGCTGGAGAATCACTTGAGGCCAGGAGTTCAAGAGCAGCGTGGGTAAAATAACTAGACCCCATTTTTGCAAAACATTTTTTTTTAAATTAGGTGGGCATTGTGGCACATGTCTGTAGTCCCAGCTACTCAGAACACTGAGGTGGGAGGATTGCTTGAGCCCAGGAGGTAGAGGCTGCAGTGAACCATGATGGTGCCACTGTAGTCCAGCCTGGACAACAGATCAAGACCCTGTCTCTATAAAAAGAAAAAAGAAAAAAAGAATATGGTCATATTCACATATATCTTTAAATGATGGTCAGCTGTCTCAATATTCTCAGGGTTCTGCATTTTTACAGACCCTCACAACACTCAGGCCTTTGGTCTCTGTACTTACAACATATTGCTTTATTAATAAAGTGTTTTGCTGTTCATAGACTAAATGCCACCAAAGTCATATACTTTGTATGGGGTTTTGGTGATAGGCCAGGGCACCACATGTGCTGACTGGTGCTCTTTTTATAGTAAAACAGCCTTATGAAAGCAAAAATTTATTGTGAAACTGTTTGGGGCATGCCAAATATCATAGGCAGTTAGCTCTTTGCTAACTGTAGAAACCCAGAGAATAGAATTCGGAGTGTTTTCTTAAGGAAGGGGCAATGAACACTTTGTGCCTGGGAGATTGAATGCTGCCAAGAAAGGGTTTCACTGCCCGGGACATAGTGGGGGAAGAAATGGAGACTAAGTTCAACCTCTCCAAGATGGCCACAGGCGGGGGTGTTTTTTCTTCCAAAAGTATAAGAAAGCAAGAGAACCCAGTTTAGTTTTTAATACTTTTTGTTGTTGTTGTTTTCTAGGTAGAAAAGTGTGGATTCGCTAGAAATTGGAACTTGATTCCATTTTCTAAGATCCATTGTCTACATTATCTGCAGCTGAGAGCTTCTACTCAGGGGGCAAGGTGTCTGGCAGTTTTGATTTCAGAAAAGTGTTATTTCTGTAGTTTAATGCAAATAATATGACATTTCCTTCTGAAGTAAATATACATAAATACACACACACACACACACACACATAAACACATCTCTGTTTCCTTGTTTTGTTTTTGTTTTTGACAAGAGATTGCCTTCATATGATGGTCTAGAAGTGACTTTCTTTTATATGTGCTATTTTGAGCAGAGGGAGAACTGAGAAAAAGAAGGAAGGCCATCTGAATTTAGATAGGTGTAAAATCAAAGAGGAAGAAGGTAGTGTTTAAGGCTAAAATAAATTGTCCTGTAAGTTATCCCACTGACCCTGGAATTGACAGAGTCACTTTTGGTTTCCACAGTGCCCCTTATCAATCACATTCATTTGGAGTTGGGAGGTACAATTTGCCTTCTTGTATGTTCTGAGATGTAAGACCAATTTTCTTGTTTGATTAAGTGATTTATTCATCGTTAAGGCTAACTTCCCAAATAGTCATTTTTATTTTGTAAAAATAAAGTTTGGAAGAGAAAGGGAATGAGATGAGATTTGTAGATGAGATTTTTATTATTGTTATTGTTTTATTTTTTTTATTATTTTATTATTAATATTACTCAATATGTGGTTGCTTATAATGTATTTCACAAAGAAATTTAGAAATGGGAGATATTCCTTAAAAAAGATTTCAATTTTTTTTAGAGTAACTTCTGGAATCCTTCTGGAATCTCAAACATACATTCCTAGGTGATAAATACATGGCTGAAAAGCCAAGTTCATATTGAAAGTGTAGGTACAACTTAATGACAGCAATGTTAATCGTGCTTTTCTGTGTGCATGCATTTTTTAAGTTTCCTACATGTGAAGTACAATGCCTGGCAGTCACAAATAAACCTTGACCAAAGAGAAGATATTACTGATCACAATTTTTAAATGGCTTATTCAAGACAGCACTACATTTACAGTTCACTTTTATCAAGTGGAAGCATCTCGGAGCCGCCATCTATTTTGTGTCTATATTTGTAGACAATGGATGCCAAGTTCATTATTCTACATAGCTATGAGCATGCCTTTGTGAATTACTATTAATAGATAAAGTAGAGATCCGAGGCACTTACATGAGTAAATAGAAGAAAACCCCACACCATCCACAATATCCTGATATTGAGGAGGGAAAGAGTATTTTATAGACCGAAATTGACCAAATAATCAATGCACTCAATCAAATTAATTCAATCATGGCCCAAAACTTCATTGCTTCTTGCCACCCTGAGCTGACATCATCCACCTGCAGCTGACCAACGTGTGCACTATGTGTTTCCATGCCTCCTGCTTAGTGGGCATCAGGCAAGTGGACGTGCTTTGCTCAACAGTAGCCCATGAACAGCAATTGAGTAGGAGATGGTGGGGGTAGCAGGGATTCATGGCTGAAGGTCAATTTATTTTCAGATATTCCTTTTAGATTGAGCAACACATACTTCTTTTGGAAAAATCTGATGGTAGATGAGTCAGCTTACTCTGATTGCATTTCAGGTGGAAGCCACAAATCCTACCACATAATTCTGCCCAATGCATGCCTCATATTCACATTCTCAATTGGATGTCAACCTGAGCTTGTGAAGGTTACGATAGTTAAATGTATTAAGTGCTTAGTATGTGCTAGGTATTGTTCTGTTTCCCATCTATTACCGTATTTAATCCTCACAGTAACACAAATAATGTTGTACTCTTCTTATCACCATCTTATAACGAGGTTGCTGGAGCTCAGTTGGGTTGTGTTATCTACCTAAGGTCATGCAGTCAGTGTGGAGTAAGGATTCTCACCTGGCTTCAGTTCTCATCACCTAAGGGTGTGGTCTAGCCTTTTAATAAGGTTCAGCTCTTGAGTTAAAACCTAATCTCTTCGGAAAGGCCCTGGTAAATATGAGGGCCAAATTAAAGGTAAGCTACAAACTTTCAGGCGAACCACAGTAAATAATGTTCTTGATGTCATTTAGACATAACAGAAGAGTTTTCCAGTTTTGTTGTTGAAAGTGCACAGGGCATTGGGTTTGTATCCTCTGGTCTTCTCAACATGGTTTTAATACATCTCTTTTAGAATGAAGTGTCTATGTTGAAAAATGAGGTGGCCCAGCTGAAACAGTTGTTGTTAACACATAAAGACTGCCCAATAACAGCCATGCAGAAAGAATCACAAGGATATCTAAGTAAGTCACCGACTTTTTCACTTTTCTTTAGTGTCCAATTTTTTTTTGCCACTAAGTTTGCACTGAATTTGATTGAAAGAGCAAAAGTAAAGTGTAGATTATACTTCCAGGTAGATATACAAGAATTCTTGAGTGGCTTCCAGACTATTCTTCCAAGGGGATCCCTTTTTCCTGACCCCTGTGCAACACCATGCCCACCACCTCCTGATAATTTCTGGCTACTCCTTCCCTGGCATTTCGAAGTATTAAAAAAAATACCAAATTCCAATTTTGCAGCCAGTAAGAAAAGAACCAGCTGATGCCCAAGTACCAGTGGCCCAGCAGTCTCCTTCAGAAATCTGTGGGCTGGGACCCAGGCCTTGGGTGAATTACATCCAGTGCCTCCAGAAACACTGCATGTTACTCCCTGGGCTGAAAAGCTAGTGACTGACCTCAGTTTATCAATATGTAACATGATCCCTTCCTTCAGACCCCGGTTTCTGCATCTGGAATGCCAGTTGGTTAAATGATAGTTGAATAGGGATGGTGGGAGGAGCAGGGATTCATGGCTGAAGGTCAATTTATTTTCAAATAATTTTTTAGATTGAGCAACACAGATTCTCCCACCACATGTGAGTATTTTTCCACATTTGATATATGGATGGCTATTTAAAAGACAAGATGGGGAAGTTCACATGTCCATGACTTAAACACATCAAATCATTTTACTGATACAGAAAGCATGGCTTTGCTTGTAGATATAAACTGGAAAGGCATAGCATTGTGACAACAGTTGAAAATAAAGTTTTGAAATTAACTTTCAGAAGAAAATGTGCGAAACTTCTATTTCAAGTAAATATCCGGTACTATTTCTCTGAGGAGTCCACAAGTCCATACAAAAAAGACCTATATTGGTGTGTGTGTATGTGTGTGTGTTGTCTTTTTTTTTTTCTCTCTAGGTCCGGAGAGTAGCCCTCCTGCTAGTCCTGTCCCAGCTTGCTCCCAGCAACAAGTCATCCAGCATAATACCATCACTACTTCCTCATCAGTCAGCGAGGTGGTAGGAAGCTCCACCCTCAGCCAGCTCACCACTCACAGAACAGACCTGAATCCAATTCTTTAAAATGCACCATCAGACCTGGCCTCCAAGAAGAGCTGTAGCGTACCATGCGTCCTTTCTTTTAAGGGCATTTTTAGAATTAACTCAGACCTGGAAGACTCCTCAGTTCTTCAAAGACTGGCTTTCATTTTTATAGTTATTATGGAAATGTTGTCTTTTATACTTAGTTATATAAGAAAAAAGGGAGTTATGCAATTAATATCTATCAGCTTGGGAAACGCTTTGGTGCTTTTCTCCAATTTTCTGGTACCAGTTACTTGTTTATAAACTGAACCTTTTCTGTATATAGCCATGGTTTCATTCTTATCAGTCCAACCCTTTGCCTGAAACACTGAATCTTGTTAAACCACAGCTTTTAGCCAAAATGAGGCATACCTAGATGTCAAGTAAGACAGATCCAAGGTAACTGGGTAGAAAATCTTTTGACATCTTAACTCATGTTGAGTTTGTGCTGTGGTGTCACCAGAATCCCAGATAAACACACAGCCTTTCCCATAACTTTTTGTTTCTTACTATAAAATATTATAAGATTCATTGATGTCCAAATAACACCACCGAGCGTCTCTTCACTTCTCCTTCTCCTCTTGGTCCACTTGCTAATGCCCAGTTTTCTTCTCCATTTCCACTTTTTCTTGGGCTCCCTGTTTACTCTTCATTTTGACTTCCTTCTGTTTTATTTTTTTTCCCTTTAGCATTGCATGTGAAGAAGAAAATAATGTTTAAAGGAAAAAAAAAAAAAGCAAACCTCCAAAACGTGGACCTAACCATTGCTTCACTTACACGTCACCCACAGCTGGAGTTCATTCAACTCTTGCTTTTCACAAAATAGTAACCAGGAGACGTTTAATGTGCCTGATTTAATGTTTTTAATAATCAGAGCAAATGAAAGGTGGTTTAGCTATAAGTGAAGCACGGTTGAATACCAGCTGGGGAGACACTAGGGAAGGGAGCTTTGTAAGCCTTGATTGTGAAAGTCCAAATTTTGATGTGGGGCTATAACATGACACCCTTGGATTGCAACTGGTTTTATATGACCTGTCTATAACATTGAAAATCCATGTACTATATAATAATTCAGAAGGGCTCTATTCACTACACGGATTACATTGTTCAATCATCAGCTGCTAATAGCCTAAGATTTATTATTTTTTTTCCTTAAGCCTATGGAACCGGCTTTGCTGTTCTGGGGGGTGAAAATAGACTAACTACTGGAGAAACAAAGAGAGAAAGAAAACCCAGTGTTTCCGTAGGGGCACTTTTAGCCTTCCCACGACAGTTCAGCACTCTTTGACTGCTGAAGGAACCCCATGGATGAGGCGCAGGCTACTTCACTCTTTTTTTTCTTTTTTTTGAGACAGAGTCTCACCTATTGCCCAGGCTGAAGTGCAGTGGTGCACTTCACAGATCACTGCAGATCACAGATCACAGAACACTGCAGCATCAACCCCCGAGTTCAAGCGATCCTTCCACCTCCGCCTCCCGGGTAGCTGGGACCACAGGTTCACACAACCATGCCTGGCTACTTTATTTTTACTTTTATTTTAAAATAAAAGATAAGGTCTCTCTTACGTTGCCCAGGCTAGTCTCAAACGATCCTACTTCTTCGTCCCAAAGTGTTGGGATTGTAGGCGTGAGCCACTGCACCCAGCCTACTTCCCTCTTCTGAATTATTCTGATTTATTTTCAACAACTTTTGTGAACTTGCGCATGATACAAAGCAGATAGTCCCTGAACCACAGTCGTGCCTCCTTGAAACAAGCCATTCTACTGTGCTAATGTTTTAATATCGCATCTCACAAATAACAGGGGTGAATGTTTCTCTCTAGCAATCTAGGCAGGTGCTGGTGTTTCATCTCCATTTGAATGCTTGACCCCTTAACGTGTGTATGTGTGTGTGTATGTGTGTGTGTGTTCATGGGTTTTAAAAGAACAGTATTTTACAAAAGGTGTAGCTTTTATAAGAGTTCAGAAAAGGGAAGGATGTGTTTTTTTCTCTCACTATAGTATAAGAATCTATTTTGGAGAAAAAAAGAAAATATGAGGGTCTCGAAGCATGATTTTTATATAACTAGTTTCAGTTTTATCTAATAACTTACTTTTTAAATCCATATTTATCAACAATCTTTCCATGTATGCAGTGCTTTCAAAAGATGGTTTTGAGTGTCCAGTGAAACTTATGACTTGGGTATATGGTTGAAGAATCAAAACAAAAGCAAAAAAAAAAAAAAAAAACCAAAAAAAGAAAAGAGAAAAAAAGAAAAAATGCAAATGAAATAATTTTCTATTATATTTTAGACAAACATATCATTTTCAAGTATTTTAAATACTGAATTCATAGTTGTTGTTTTTTAAATTCCAACAGTAACAGCTGAATGGTTTAATCTGACTGGCTTCCTAAGAAATGTTTAAGACTCAGCTTTAAAAAGAAGTTAACATTCATATCTCTGTTTTGAAATCAAAAATAATATTTCAAAATTCTTTCCTAGGACTATCTGTCTCCCCTCCCCCCACAAAAGGAAAAAGAGTGCATTAAAATGTTTAGTTGGGTTTTTTAATTTTTAATTTTTATTTTATGTTTTGCTTTGTTTTAAGTAAAATTTTTTCTTTACTGCATGCATAGCACTTAATAAAATGGATTTTTTAAAAATCCACTAGTAATATCAGAATGTCCAGGGAGTGATTGTCGTTACAATGATGGTTTAGTTTACTTCTGTTCCACCTTTTGATTGAAATATTTAGTTGTTAGGCTGAAAGCCTCTGCAGTTAAGAACTTGCCTGAGTTTTCTTCGTTCAGCAACTTGACAGTTTGACTGATGTGCATTATATATAGCTCAATTATGTCTGTTTTTTATGCTAAGTAGGAAAACCAACCACACACATTAGCAAACCGGCCTCAACATATAATTAGAATAAACTGTCTTCTTGTTCTACTCAGGGCCTTTAGGTGTGTTCATTCATGGTATGGAAATACAGTAAATGAAAGATTCCAACTAGTTGTCAGTGCTTCTTGAAAATTCCAAACAGAAAGATACATTGGTCAGATCCAACACATGGCTTATCAATATTAAGTCTTTTACCTAAAGGCCCAGCAGTCACCAGACAACAGAATAATCAATCTGCCTGAAAAATCCCTCCTCCTTGTCTTACACTTTTTGCCTGTTTGGGAGAATATCTTTGTACTCCATTCTCCTCCCTCAACCAGTTATTGTGTCACCCATCCATGTGTTCATTAATCAATTATCATGGCCTTCAGAGCACCTGTCCTAAGGAGGGAAAATCCTGCCACACTGCCTCTCCCCATTCATGTGTGGTTTTCTTGATGGGCGAGATCTGTCTCTGAAGTCACTGCCAGCCTCCCTGGGAACGTCTATAGTACCTCCCCTGCCTTATGTGCTGGGAGTTAACAACTCAGATAAGTACACCTGAGAGCATTTCTACCAGGTAAACTCTCACCTAAATGGAGGTGTCCACATCTTAATTGTTTCTCCTTGACATATTTCTCAATCCACGATGCCAGGAGAAGTAGAGCGAAAATCCCAGCCATGGATGAATGTACTGATTTGAAAGCCAAGTGTGAAGTTGGATGTTTTCCCGTCACACTACTACTCAGCCCTCTCCTGCTCCCACATCAATGGATGCAAGTCACAATCTTAACACAGCCTGTGGGAGACAAGCAGTTTGTGTGCTCTCACAGTATATAGTATAGTAATTAGGGTGACTTAGAGCAAATACTCTTCAGATCCTATGTAGTCAGTGAAACAGGGAGAGTGTATTCTGATAGAGGGATGTCGATGGTGAATGTTCTGGTGGTTGTTGCCTGTTAAGTAAACTTTAGTGTGTAAGTCGAGTTTGTCATTAAAATCATAAACCAGCTACGGTAACAGACAAGCCTTTGGCTGGGGAGTTTTAAGCCTCAGTAACTGCTATAAAACTAGCCATCCAGTTAGGATAGAATGTGTTTCTTTCTGGTTAAAAAAAGAAAAAACCATCTAAGAAAATATATATGTATGTGTGTGTGTATACAGTGGAATTCAAGGACCAAAGCAAAATTTGAACAGGAATCTATTAATTTAGAATTTTATAAGATATTTATTAATAAATGTTATTTTTAAACATTCCATTTGAACAGTATTCTGTAGGATCTACTTGTTTTTAAAGTGTTAGTCCATAATAAACTACTATAGTTGTGTGTATTTTCATTTTTCAGGGTTTCAAATGGCTATTCTCCATCATTTGGTGGAAATGTTTGCTTAGGTCTCTGTGCATAGACATTTCAAGGATTTTTATTGCTCTGTGAGTTATTTTTTAATCAACACTCTGAACAATTTTATTAAAACATTTATTTCTTTTTTCATTTTTAAAGTAAGCTCTTTCATTTAGGAAGCAGAGTTCAGCTAAAGGGAATCAGTAACTATAACTGGAACAGCTTTCTTGTAGAAGTGTAAAAACAACTTCATCTCTGCCTCTCTCCATCCCACCCCAATTTCCTAGAAAGCCTTGCACTATTCAGCTCCCTTAGTGCTTTTTGTCCCTTCCCGAACAATATGCAGTAGCTTTAAGCCATTCAAGCTCCATTATGCAGTATATCTGAGAAGGGAAAGGAAACAACCCATTTAAATTTGAATAAAACCGTGCCTATGCGAACAGCAATTTAGAATCTCTTTTCTGCTTTTAAAATAATTTATATTTTAAAATTGCACTTTAGCTTTTTGATCCCTTTGTATTTCTCTTACTCTCTTTCTAACCTCTTCTCTGTCCTCAAACTTGCCTTTGCTCTCCTTTACAATGCCCCCTACCCCTCCTCCAAGGCTCTGAGCGGCATCATTTAAAATACTTTACAGATATCTGCACCAGGTACATTTATGTGCATCCATTGGTAGCACAGCTGAGACCTGTGTCTCATATCAGCCTAGGTGAAGCATACTACAAGAATGCCAAGGAGAAGAGCCAGTACACTATATGGTTTATACTCTTTATCCCTTTATTCATAGCATGTTTTTTAAAAAATGTTATATTATGCAACAGATGTGAGGCAGCAGCTAAGCTAGACTTAAGAATTTTCTCTCATCTTCCAAACCAAAGTGTCCTGAATAAGCCAGGAGACTTATTCTTTTGTGCGCCCTGGTGCACATCTGACTGTTGTCCTAGCCATAGACTCTCTGAGGCCACTGAAAGAACAGTGGCCCTATCGATTTCATTCCTAGGTCTCAAAAATACAATGTTGCCTTGTAACATAATTAGGGACAGCACCTCTAATTCACAATTATAATCTAAGGTAGGATAAGACGACACAGCAGCAATAAACTTACAAGTAAAATTCAATACCAAAACAAACACAAAGAAATTTAAAAAACAAAAAACCTAGCTCGTCATGTTGTGAAAATGAAAAAGTGTATGTCCATTCAAAATATTTTACTATTTCTTGTGGAGTTTTTCAGTGCTGTAATGCTTGTAGCCAAATTGCTTAAAGAGTGTTTATATATTTTTTTCCTTATAAATTGTCTATTTTTTAAAAAAAAAGCTATTTAACCACAGCTGAAGTGGGGGGTAAGGCCAAATTGCCAACATTTGTTAAAAGATTAATACTCTTAAGTGACACTCTGATACCTTTCCAACTTGTCATCAGAAAGGAATCAATAATTACCAACTGTTGTATTTAGACCAACTTACAATATCTAGCTCATTAGAAGCCAGGATCTAGAAAGCTCCTTCTAAGCCATTTAAGATATTCTTACATTGAGCTTCATATTATAGAACTTTATAGGATTGGATTTTTTACAATAGAATAATTTAGCCTCAGGACTGAGAATGTGGAAGCTGAATAAATTAGCTTTAAATACATCATTAAAATCTTATGCACAATAAGCTCATTAGATTCTAGTTTTCTCCTTTAGAATACCAATGCCACAGACACTGCAGGAGATAATGAAAGGTATCAGTTGTGCTGAATGGAGTGGGTTTAAGAGAAAGGACCCTTCCCAACCAGCAGCCAGTAAAAAATACAACCTACTCACTTTTTTCCCTTCTAAGTTCTGCTAAATCACATCTGCCTCATAGAGAAAGGAATGTTGCCTTTGAGAACTGTCTTGGAGAAAAGATAAGCTTGAAATGTTCTCTCTAAAGAGGACATAGGGTTTGGGATCCTCTGAAAAGGCCCAGAAAAATAGCTCAGTTCTAACACAATGTTCTAGGACAATTGGAATATAAATATTGTCCAAAAATATAATTAAAAGAAAAAAGTTTAGCACTGTGTAAAGTAAGTGTTAACAGAGGAAGTCCCAAAAAGGTGCTGTCACTTTAAGTTCTGGACTTGGGGTTGTTTGTATTTGTAAACAGCAAAGCATTTGTGTTTGTTTGTCTATTTGTAAAGCAACCACCTTCCTTATTGGAAGGAGAAAAAAAAGGGGTACATACATGTAAATACTTGCTGCAGCATTTAATATGTTTAATTTTGTGTTAAGCTTTTTGTTGCATCGTGAACACATTTATTGTTACCAATGGACAATGAGTTCATTAAGACTGTTCAACTAGGTCAGATTTTTACATCTCTTTCTAGCAAGAAGAGACAAGATTTTGTGCATTTGTACAAATGTTAATATCACTGCAATTCCAATATAATAAAGCACTCAAATGCAAATAATATATGTCACCTTTGTATGATGAAATTTGGGATTGGGGGTAATGACATGTATTCCTCACATACTCTTGTCAGAGGCATGTGAATCAGAGCAACTCCATCTTGAATAGGAGCTGGGTAAAATAAGGCTGAGACCTACTGGGCTGCATTCCCAGATGATTAAGGCATTCTAAGTCAGTGGATGACATAGGAAGTTGGCACAAGATACAGGTCATAAAGACCTTTCTGATAAAACGGTTTGCAGTAATAAAGCCAGCTAAATCCCACCAAAACCAAGATGGCGACAAGAGTGACCTTAGGTCATCCTCACTGCGACACTCCCATCAGCACCATGACAGTTTACAAATGCCATGGCAATGTCAGGAAGTTACCCTATTATGGTCTAAAAAGGGGAGGCATGAATAATCCACCCCTTGTTTAGCATATCATCAAGAAATCATCATAAAAATCACTCTGTCTATGGAGTAGCCATTCTTTCATTCCTTCACTTTCTTAATAAACTTGCTTTTGCTTTATGGATTTGCCCTGAATTCCTTCTTGCACGAGCTCAAGAACCCACTCTTGGGATCTGGACCCGGACCCCTTTCCGATAACAGTCTCATTCATGACTTATAAACCAAGGCTTACCCTTTCAGGGTAACCATTATTTATGGACAAAAGGAGATCAGATTTTCTCCTTCCCAAACCAGCACTACATTCCCACTGCCTCTTCCATCCAACTTCCTAACTGAGGCCACTAATCCAACACATTCACAGTGGGTTGGCCATACAACTTAATTTCACTTTAAGTAAGTTTGGAATTAGCAGATTTTAACAGTCAAGAAATAAAAGCAGCCTAAGGTCATGTTCCAGCCATGTCTAGGAACCAAGAATCACGTGCTGGCTTCTCAGACAATCAAATCCTGGGGTTCTTTCTTTGATCTCCAGAGGAATCCTAAGGGTAGTTTTAGTCCTTTTACGCATTCTTTTAGATATTACCCTTCCTTTCTTCCTCCTCTTGCTTTTATTCCTTTTTCTTTTTTTAGTCATTCTCCTTTTCCTCTTACACTTGATATCTGATCCATCAGCAAGATCAGAATCCAACCATCATGTAGCACCAATCTTACAGCTATGCCCTGACCAAGCCATCAACATCTCTCACCTGGATTACTACAATAATCTTTTCACTGGGCAACCAGAGGAAGCCTTTGAAAATGGATGTCAGACCACGTCCCCTCACTGCTCAAAACTCTGCAAGGACTCCTCACCTCATTCAAACCAGGTAAAAGCAAAAATTCTCCCACCACCTACTTTAAGTTCTGTAACAGCACGACGTAACCCACCCCCACCTCATTCATTGCCTGAACTCATCTCCTATCACTTCTCTTCCCTCTCCCCCTCACCAGCTTCACTGATGTCTTTGCAGTTCCACAAACCTCAGAAGCACCATCCACCTGAGAGCCTTTTCACAACCTGTGAAGAATATTCTTCACCCCAATATCAGCATAGCTCACTACCTTTAGCGTCTTCCTATCAGTAAAGCCTTTTCTTAGCTTCCTATACAAAATTGTATCACTTGTCTACCTTGCCCAGACTATCTTTTCTATAGTATTTAGCACCACCTATCATAATTTATATTTACTTGTTTTTGTTGCCACCACAAGAGCAAAGGTATTTTCTATTTTGTTTAAATTTGTGCCTAAGATCTAGAACAGTGGACACACAATGGGCACACAACAAACATTTCTGGAATAGATGACCTGTCCTTTTCTATCTTCCTCCTATTCTCAGAACATTCCAACCCTTCCACCTGTTCCTGCAGCCAAAGCAGCTGTATTTTTTTTTTTTTTTTTTTTTTTTTTAAGATTGAGTCTCACTCTGTTGCCCAGGCTGGAGTGCAGTGGCACGATCTTGGCTCACCACAACCTCCACCTCCTGGGTTCAAGCAATTCTCCTGCCTTAGCCTCCTGAGTAGCTGGAACTACAGGCACACGCCACCATGCCTGGCTAATTTTTGTATTTTTAGTAGCTATGGGGTTTCACTATGTTGGCCAGGCTGGTCTCGAACTCCTGACCTCGTGATCCACCCACCTCAGCCTCCTACAGTGCTGGGATTACAGGCGTGAGACACCATGCCCGGCCAAAGCAACTGTATTTTAAAACCAGTACCAAGACATGTCATCGGACACATGGCAGGGGGAGAGGATATTTGTAATCGGTACAGAAACAATTGGGGGAAAAGATCGCTGTTCTAATGGCGGTCCCATCTGTTACATTTACATTTAGACCACTCAGTATTCTCATAGTTCCCAGGAGTGTCTTTCTAATGCCCATTCCACACTCATTTGCAATTTCAAAAGCCATTACTATTGGTTAAAAAAATTGTTATGATCCTACATTTGTACTTTGAATGCAGCCAATTCTAATCTCTATCCTACCTGTCATCTCTGTGGGTCCCTGGAGCTTTGTAGTGTTCTTTATCTTACACTTGCTGATGTGGCTGGTAACTGGTTGATGACTAGATCACATTTTACTTTTGCATTACATATTCTCTTATCCAACAAAAATAATTTTTTATCAAGTTGAACTGCTTTGTGTGTTGAGACCTAAGTATGTTTATTAAGAGATTGTAAAAATTAGGAGCAACGATGGGCCCTCTTTTTAAAGTCGTTGAAAACAAGCCATTTTGATAGGGCTGTTCCCATGGCAGTAAGGTTGATTTTATCAAACCAGCCATAAAAACTAGGCTGCCAAAGAAGCTGGGGGGAAAGACTAAGTTTAAATCTATAAAGATAGAGTCTGGATTCAGACTTGCATACTTCAGAAGATACTTCTTTTCAGCAACTGTAGATGGCTTTTCAAAAATGGCTGAAAGGATGGATAAATTATAACATCTGAAAATAGTTGTCTGTTAGCTAGTAGACCTAGCAAAACTTGTTATTATTGAAAATTGTTATATTTAAACCTAGAAATAAAGCCGTGCAGCTTTTAGTAACCATAAAGTTTCATCTTATATGTTGTCAAATACTGTGTCTTCACCAACATTATATTTCCTCATACCTAACTGGAGGCCGAATCATAGCAATTGTCAGCAACCTTCTATAAATCTTTTTACTCCAATATTACTCCAATATATAGATCCAACAGGCTATAAAGGGTCTCCCATAAGTCACTTGCACTTGTACTTCCTCGGAGGGAGAGTTGCCTACATGTTCATTTAAATGAATCGAATAGGAATATTCTAGTTCATTCATAACACAGTCTTATTTTTCAATACTCTTACAGCAAGAAAATTGTTCCAACCATCTAAGATTGATTGTTTTATTGTGTATACACAGGACAAGTCCTTGATCTACTATTATTACATTTGGGTTATTCTAAACAGAGCATTCTCTGTTTAAATCTAGTCCACCAACTTTGATCTTGATTGATTCACCTCCTAGTCAAAGTGGATTTGCTTTAAGAAAGAGAAACCTTATAAAGTAGGCTCAAATGATAGGAGATTACTTATAAGGGTATAAGGGATAGCTAGTGGAGCTCAACAGGCACTGTGGCAATTATAGGAGGCTTCCAGAAGGTCATTAAGTGGCTAATCTCCTGGCTTGTCTCTGGCTCTGAGGCCACATGGTTTCTCATTCTGCTCTGTGCCTGCTTCTCTCTCTGTGTAAATTGATTTGTACACTCACTCAACTGCTTCTATGTTGGCCCATCATTTTTTCTCCAAAGCAATAGCCTCACCCCCACCCCCCAGCATATCTATGGACTTCCAATTCAAGCACCCAACCAACTGATAATGCCTCCATCTTTCTATTCCAATTTCCCAGGAGAGAGAATCTGATTGGCCATATCAGATGAGGCCTGTATCCCTAGTCCAACCGACTATGTGTGGGGAAGCAGGATTACATGCTCTTACTTCTGGAGACAGAGCAGGATTTCCAGAAAGGAGAAAATGATTGCTAAAAAGAAATAATTGGTGGTTCTAAAGCTAGCTCATAAGAATCTAGTCACTTTCCCTTAAAACCTACCAAGGGATTAAAGTACAGTGAGGAGACTAGCATCTAGTAGATGGTAACAAATGTTTGTTGAATGAATGGTTAATGAATTATTGGTTTTATTTTGTTTATTTGTTTGGGGAGGTGGGTGATGGAGTTTTGCTTTTGTCACCCAGGCAGGAGTGCAGTGGTGTGATATTGGCTCACTGAATCCTCCGCCTCCCAGGTTCAAGTGATTCTCATGCCTCAGCCTCCCAAGCAGCTGGGATTACACCCACCACAACACCCAGCTAAGTTTTGTATTTTTAGTAAAGACAAGGTTTCACCATGTTGGCCAGGCTGGTCTCTAGCTCCTGACCTCAGGTTATCTGCCTGCCTCAGCCTCCCAAAGTGCTGGGATTACAGGCATGAGCCACCGCTCCTGGCCCTACGAATTCTTGTTTTATTGAAAGCTTTGAAGTGAAGCAAATCGAATATTCGTTGAAGATAACATAAGTAACTTTACAAAGCTAGAGATTCTGTGGACATAATAGCTTAGCTTGTAGTCCATAAAATCCAGAATATAAAAGTTAACCATCAGCAAGAGTGAGATTTTATTTTGCCATGTTTTATAATGATTTACTGCTCTCTTACTTTAAACTGAGTTTACACATATGCTTTCCAAGAAGGACTACTGCTATGTTGTTCTTATAAACTCATAGGTGACTCCAATGTGTTAGTGTTTATAAGGATGTTGGCATAATGTCTCTCTAGGATGGGGTCAGGAAACACTCTTGTCCCCAGACTCCCTCCAAGTATTATATTAACTATCTCAATAAATCTCTGTGACAAGGAAACAGGGCAGTTCCCATCAATAAGCCTCCAAGAAAGCAAAGAGTATTGCTACAAAGAAGAGTAGAACAAGCGCTTAACGAAGAAACTAAAAACCTGGAGTAAGAACTAATAGTTCTGTATTTTAATACCAAATTATCTATTGATTTCCTATATGACCTAAACAAACACAAATCTTGGTTCTTTGTCTCCTTTGTCAGT